GGGGAGTGTGAGGGTAATCGTCCTTGAAGCAGAGGGAAGAGAAGTCAGAAGTGAATGAATGGGGAAGAGACTCTTCTTCAGTAGATAATAAGCTAGAACAGCAGAGTGGATGAGGGACGGCACAGGGGCCCTGTGAGTTCCTGTAGGTGGGATCTAAAATGGTTCTCCACTCTGAGCAGTTTCTGAGCCACAACCCAGGCCACCATCCTCGGTTCACCACAGCTGTGGGATTCCCTCTAGATGATGGGAGCCTGGTGCTTTTGATTCTTCCTGCTGGAAAATACTTACTATGGGTTCTTTGGCCCTTGATTTCTTCTCTAGCCTGACTGGACCCATTATCAAGATGGGGCTTCTCTGTCTTTGGAGCTGCTTCCCTTCTCTTGAAGGATGTCCCCATGCAAGTGAATCCCTGCAGCCTGAGCACTGCTGTCTGGAGTGGGATTAATGCCCTGGCATGGACTCTACAACTAATCATGGTTCGATCCTTGTGATTTCTGCTTCTTAGGATAGTACCATCCACCAGGAGAATTCACATGAACTCTAGATGTATCCTAATAACCAATCTGCCCCACATTATTCTGCCTGCACAGACACCAAGCTTTTTTCACAGACTCTGGACTTACCCATAGGGAACAAGTTGAAAACACACTATACTCTTCTGTTACCAGTAATAATTTTCATACACAAAGGACAGAACCTTTCTGTTTGGCTTACTACCTAGCACAAATTGTTTCCAATTTAAAGTTTTCCCTTTGCTGAAATTATTCTCATCAGAATCATTATTTCCCATGTAAAATTTTCAGTGAAGTCTTGTTTTGTTGGTCAAGTTTTTTTGTTCAGGTCAACCAGTTATAGCATCTGCAGTTAGAATTTTACTTTTATGGACATTATCTCTAACAAGTCCAATTATTCTAAATCAAAATTTTCAAATGGAAGTTTTATCAAGAAGATTTGCTTCTGTTAATTCTTAATTAACACATTTTTCTGTGTGCAATTTTGTTTTATTATATTTACCATTAATATTCATTATAAATTGGCTAAAAGGAAATAGTTTGCATTTATTTCTTAGGTAACTCATGAGAAAATAATAAGCTGCTTCAGGATTGAGCTTACTGTACTCTTACAGTTCTTATGAACATGTCTCTATCATTTTGGGCATTACATTCTAATGTGCTCTAATGTTGGTGGAGCAAAGAGTAAATGGCAGGGCCAAAATGTTTTGCTTTGCTCCAAATACATCAATGTTTGGGTAAAAATGTAGGAGTGTTTTGTGTGTTTTTTTAAAAAAGGACTTTGCTATTTTCTCTCTTCCTTCTTTAAACTTTTTAGCCCTTTCAGTTTCTCTGACTTATCATTTAACTCTTCTGCCATTATGTCTACCCTACTTCTCTCTTGCCCCACTCCTCTTTCTGCCTGTTTTTCTTCTCTCTCCTACTCTTCCTCAGTCTTACAGTCCCAGACTCTCATTTAGCTGTATTTTCCCCTCAGTTGCTTTCTTCTTTGCCCCACCCCCATCTCTTCTAAGAGTTGCTTATCAGAACCCTCAATGTCATGATTATAAAGGCTCAGAGAGAAACTCTTTCCCCTGCCGCTCAGCATCCCACTGGGATCAAGTAACCAAGAGAGGTTGTGAACCTGTGCTTCTTGTCTGGCTTTAAAAGCAGCACTGAGGGTGGCCTGCTTATGGGGGCCTGATTTTATAGAATCTGTCTAAGACAGAGGGATGGATGATGTGATCTCAGGAGGGCCCTGCCAGATCAAGGAACCTGGGAGCCTCATCTCAATCATCATCAATTTAGATTTATTGGACACCCCTTGGGTACTCGGTGCTGTGCTAAATGATTTCATCTTTCAAGCCCTAAAATCCAGTTTCTTAGCATCTGTTTAAAATATTGTAATATTGGGCAGAGTTTTTACAAGCTTTTGTTGTTTTTTATTATTTACTACAAACCATGTTTTAAAAATTAGAAGTTAGAGGATTTAGTAATGATGTTGGAGATTGTCCTTCACTTCTTTTAGCATAAGATCCTACAGGTTCCTACTCCACATGGGTTCCTCTTCAGCTACTGTGAGATCTGAGGGCATACTGAGAAGTGAGTAGGATAATATTCATAGAGAGGATGTCTTATGGGCACTGGAGTTGGGATGAGGTGGGGTTGTGGGGAATACCTTAGGCAAGGCTTGGGAAAGGAAGGACAGAGAGAGAAAAAGCGAGTTTGGAAATAGTTCTTTTATTTAGTGAATAAATATTTATTGAGTGCCTACTCTGTGCAGATAATTTTCTAGATGCTGAAGGTACAGCAGTGAAAAAATGTATTAACAATCTCTACTTTCATGGAGTTTATATTCTGATAGGAAGAGAGAATCAATAAAATAAATGAATAAATTTGGTGATTTGTACTATAGCAACAAATAAAGCAGAGGTAGGGAGTATTGGGAGTTTTAATTTTAAAAGGGTAATAAAGTAAAAACCTAAGGAAATGAGCTAGTGAAAAACTCTAGGTGATGAGTATGTATAGTATTCCAGAGAGAAGAACCTGGACAAGAGGGAGAGGGCCAAGCAGAGAAACCAGTTTGGAGAAAATGTCGATGATCCAGGAGAGAAATGATGGTGACCTGTGCTAGTTGGATACAGAGGAGGTGGTGAGAAGAGGTCAGGCTCTGGGTGTATTTTAAAGGCAGCAACACTACCAGGACTTCCTGGTGGATTGGACAGGGGTTGTGAGAGAGCTAAGGTTTGGTTTGAACAACGGAGGATGGAGTTACCATTAACCGAGATGGCAAAGCCGTGGGTGCAGGTGGGGAAGAGCTAGCTTGGGAGAAAGATCACAAGTTCAGTTTGGGACATGTTAAGTTTGCGTTCTGGAAGTGGAAAGTGGAAGATAGTGTGAGGAAGCCCTTAGTGAAATGAAGGAGGAAACCAAGGATGTGAATCTTGCCAAAAATGAAATGGATTTGGCTAAGAATGAGATAAGGAAGAAAGAGTGGGGTGATGGGAGGTGAGTGTCGTGAGGAGCACCTTGTAGTACACGAAGCTGGGTGCTTATGAAGCCTTGTCATGAGCCATGAGCCACTTGCTGGTGAAAAGCAACGAATAGAGTTGCATAGGAAGGCTGGGTGATTTTAACCTGGGGTGTGCCACATAGGTTTTGAGGTTAGATAAAGAATGCAGTACTACAGGGAGGAAAGGTGCTGGCCTGGGGGAATAAAAATACCCTTGAGGTGTGAAGCTGATTGAGGTGGAAGTGGGTGGTCTGGATATGGGTCAGGAATTCTGTCTCTAAGGATGTCAACATGGCTCTGAAGGAAAAGGAACAGGCGTAGATTGCATCAGTGAGGGGAAAGGGACAGCTCTGGGATGGGGAAGGGGATTAAAGTTACTGGGCTGCTCCAGGAGGCCATGGGACGTTCTTGCTGGCATGAAGGCAGATGGGGGAGGGGGTAGAGAAGAGCGACAGGTAAGCCCCAAGTACTGGGAGGTGCTATGGCCATGTGTACACGTGCACACCCCTTTTTCTTATAAAGCATGTCACCGTTCCCTGAAGTTAATTTACTTTGGGTTGTATTCTCAACCTTAGAGTGTGCTTATGTGTACATGTAACAGGTGGCTGGTGTGGATACCTGTGCTCCCACATTTGTGAAGTGCCCCCCACCTTTACACACTGAACTCCCTTGGTATGGAGCTATTAGTTTACAGATTATTCATTTTCTCTTCTGGTTGGTTCATTATTGGTTGGTTTTCTTTTGATGTTGTTGTTTCATTGTTTATTGGTCTTTTGGGCAGAAAACAAGGGATTTTGTAAAACCCAAACACTGAAAACATTTATAATGCATTATTTGCAGTATAAGAAGAATAAAAATGTCAGTGGATAGAAAGAATAAAAACAATGGTTCAGTTAAATTTTAGAATTATGTATGGGTTAAGATGTTTATATGGCTATGATTACAAATAATCAGTAGTAATCTACTAAATGAGTCAGAATTCCCTTTTCACCATCTATATTTTCCCTTGCTGCATTTCTGTTTCTTCCCATATTCCCTCTGTGTTCCCAGCTGACATCAAGCTCAGGGTCCTCAGGATTCTGAACTTAAGCAGCTGTTTGTGCCACTCAGTAACCTTAACTGGGAAAGAGGGAAGGTGGGAAAGCGATGACATCATTTTTAAATAAGGAGAACTGAAAGGGGCCTAGGGGGACTAAGTAATTGGAAGAAAAATCTGGTCATTGATAAGGTAGCATGCGGCTGGGAAGGTTCCCCATTTATAGGCTGGACGCTCTGGTTAAGGATAATTGGGAAGAGGGTGCAGTAAGGAAAACTTCTGACTCCCAGATCCTTGTATGATGTTTCTTGGACCCAGATTTGGGGGATAGGGGTGAGGATGGGGAATCAGATGACCCTGAAGTTCCCATCTGGAAATAAGATTCTAGATTCTAGATCTAAGGAAGGAGGTAAGGAGGGGAGACAGAAGAGAAGTCAACACAGCTCTTTCCACTAGGTCCGGTTAGGATTCCTAGAATAACAAAGGCCAACAGCCCCCATCTCCCCCTGAACCCTGCAAAAGTAAATTTTCCTAGATTGCTCACTCCTGCCACAGTAACTGAAACGATCTTAAGCCAGGTCCCACACTGCTTCACTCTGGCGCCTGAGGCTGTGGTCTGGGTTCAGAGAGAGCTGGGAAGGTAGTGGGTAGGCAGAACGAGGTGGGATGTGGGAATGTTGAGGGGGACAGTCCTGGAAATGGTGTTCCTTTGATAGACACTTGTTGCCTGCCCCACTTTGCTGTAGTGAAATCTGTGCTGGTTAATACCTTTCTTCCCATTTCTTTGTCTTCCCTGAAACTCCTCCCCTCCTCATACCCTCCCTCCCCATCTCATCCCCTCCACGTCTGTATCTCTTCCTGCTATCGTTCTGGCCATGCCTGGTCATGGTTCCATATGCCTCCTCCATCCGGTCTCTTTTCCTACATTCTCTCCCTGTCCATTGGTTTTTGCTCCCCACAGAGGGGAAGGTGTACAGCTCAGATGAGGAGAAGCTGGAGGCACCAGCAAGAGACCCAGCAGGCAGCGAACAGGAGGAAGAGGGCTCGGGCGGTGACAGTGAGGACGACGGTTTTCTGGACAGTTCTGCAGGGGGCCCAGGGGTTCTCCTGGCACCTAAACCGAAGCTAAAGGGAAGCCTGGGGACTGGAGCTGAGGAGGCAGCCCCAGTGGCAGCAGGAGTGACAGCTCCTGGGGGCAAAAGCCGGAGGCGCCGCACAGCATTTACCAGTGAGCAGCTTTTGGAATTGGAGAAGGAGTTTCATTGCAAGAAATACCTGAGCTTGACAGAGCGTTCCCAGATCGCCCATGCCCTCAAGCTCAGTGAGGTGCAGGTCAAGATCTGGTTTCAGAATCGGAGGGCCAAGTGGAAGCGCATCAAAGCTGGCAATGTCAGCAGCCGTTCTGGAGAGCCCGTAAGAAACCCCAAGATTGTTGTGCCCATACCTGTGCACGTCAACAGGTTTGCTGTGCGGAGCCAGCACCAACAAATGGAACAGGGGGCCCGGCCCTGAAGGGGCTCTCGCGGACTTCAGAAGGCAAAGGACCCGTTCCTGAGCCTGCTCTGAGACTGGGTTAGGGTTCTGTGGACCAGAGGAGCTACCACTGTGATTCTGCCCTGGCAGGGGGCTCAGCTGGCAATTAGCTCCAGCTGTGCTCTCCTGGCAACCTGAGATGTGGGCACTTGCCCTGAGCCTATTCCAGAGACCCTCAGGACTGGGGCTTTAGGGCTAAAGGGGCTGGGGTTCTCATTGCCCAGGAGCTATTGGGACTGAGATGAACTCCTGGGGAGGTGATGGGTTCTAAAATGCCTAGGGCCTGAAAGGTGCCTGGAAGCACTTCTGATGGGGATGGGGAGGAATCCAGGGTGATGGCCAGCCAAGCTGATCACAGCTCCTTATTTATTTTGTGTAAAGTTTGTACATATGGATCTATCTGCCTCTGTCTGTCTGTATCCCTAATAGGGCTTGGGAAAGTTGTTTCTTCAATCCTCTACCAGAGTTTAGTTCCATCTTACTGCCCTGAAGTGGTTACCATCTTGCCTGTCTATAATACATGGACATGGAAAGAAATGAAATGGAACAGTCGCTAGCTTCCTTAGAAACCCCTCAGCACACACCATCTCCTCTCATGTAAACTACCTCTACATTTGTCCTTTCCCAGCCCTGGGTCTGCCCACTGTGCACCTCTAGACTTCATACTCCTAATGTGGCACTTTCCTCTCTACCCATTAAACAGGCAAGCTTTCTCATCTCTGCTTTCTTCTCTTTGGGAGAGCTGGCAACTTCAGGAATAGAAGACTCACATTTGTATTATGAGGGAAAATGAAATACTTGGCTCTAGTTTAGCTTGGGTGTGTCCAGAGCCTCCTTAACAAGGTAGAGTTTAGCAATTTGAGTTTGTTAGTGACTTGGGCAGGCCGAGGGCTCAGCCTCAACACCTGTGAGCGCATTGATCCTTGTCTATGCACAAGACACAGCAGCTTAGTGCATCTGCCACCATTTGGTATCCCAGACATGAGGGCCTGGAGTAAAAGACACTTTTCCAGTTGTTTCTTATGGCATTAATTGTGGTCTCTCCTCCCCCTCACAGCATTTATGAAGCTTAAGATACCAAATCCTCTTCTGTTATGAGATTGGTTGAGAAGGCCTACTGCAAAGTGGAGGCAGGAAAGAATCTGTGATGGTTCTGGAAGGGTATGTACTGTGGGGGAAGCTACGGATATAGGAATGCGGCTTTGGGGTTGGAATTCTATGAGCAAATTAAGGAATGGCATTAGTGGACACTTAAGAACCCTAACTTAACAAGTTCTCATCCTTCAAGAACAGATACAGAGGGGTTTCCCCTAGATCTTCTATCATAACTAAGGGATAGAGGGAAAAGCAGAGCCTCTGGATTCTGCCCCAGCTTGGCAAGATGGTGGGAGTCAAGGTGACTCTTCTGCCATCAGTCACCTATTCCCTCTCCTTTCCTCAAAAGCAAAGGCTAAACATGAGTCCAGAAAGAAGTGCTGCCCTAATAAGCACCAAGCCACTCCTGTGGCATCCTCAGCACTCTTGTGCGTTGACTCCCATACTTCCCTATACACCTGGCTGTGTGGGCTATTTCCCAGACTCTTAGGAAGGGGACAGTGCTTATGCCTTCTTTGGGTGAACTTTGGCAAGTACAGGCACAGCAAGTTACTGAGTAGAATATTGATGAAAATAATTGGAAAAGTTTTGGGGGTGGGGGTGTGAGAATGCAGCAGGAAGCTTCCAGAGCTCCATATCACTTCCTATCCAGGTTCACTGCCAGTGCTGCTGACAAACTCAACTATACCCATGGCAAAAGAGGGCTGAGAGAGACGCACATGGAAGGCTGTTGGAAGACAGCTCTGCTTCAGGCCAACTAGCGGGGAGAAAATCCTAGAGGGCAAAGAGGTAGAGGTGAGGGCATTTTGGGAAGGGCAGATATATAAATGGAGGAAACAAGGCCACACACAGTCTGGTTTATTGGCTCATCATACACACACCAAATATGTACACAAACATAAATATTTCAATGTACAAATTTACATGGGACTCACAGATTACCCCCCCTTGTCTTTATCCAGCACCCCCAACCTGTGCTCTATCTAGGCTCCACTTTGGGATAGTTCACAGGGGGCTGGCACTAGAGGGTAGGAATCTGGAGGAGGGAGAGGTCCTGCTCCCCTCTCCTCACAGGTACCTCCAAAGGGTCCTGTCCCTTCTCAATGGCACGATAGGGCAGAAGGCTAAATACCTCCACTCCCTCTCTGTGGCAGCTCAAATACCAGACATCTTTCTTAGACTCTTCCTGTTTTCCTCTTCTTCCTTTTCCTCTTCTTCCTTTCTGCGTGTCCCCACTTCTCAGTCTCTGTGTCTTTGTTTCCCCCAGTGCCTGTAGGGAGGAGGGCCCCCAGGGTATAGAGTCCTTCTGGCCCCTCTGCCCTCTTTCTGGGCCTTATAGGAGGCTAGGACTTCGGTGTAACTCAGCAGAGGCGTTGGTGCCATTGGCAGGCTCTCTGTTGGGGGTAGGTGTTAAGCCACAGCCCTCCCCAGGGCAGCCATGCTGGATCAAAATGTCTGCACACTCCTGGCTGCCAGCCCGGCGAGCATAGGCCAGTGGAGTCAGGCCCCGGGCGTCCCGGCTCCTAACGTCCACCCCGTACTGCAGAAGAAAGCATATTTTCACAGTTGGCATGAGGTGGCAGGGAAGATAGGTTCTTGGGGAGGAAAAGGAGGCTTTCAAAGGGCTGGGGTAAAAAGGATGTCAGGGCAGGTCAGAAGAGCCTGCAAGGGTGGAGCTGGGAAAGCAAGGAGGGAACCCAGGACTCACCCAGATTAGCAGCTGTGTGAAGACGACGTTGGCCATGGCACTGGAGAGATGCAGAGCCGTCCGCCCATCCCCATCCCCGTAGGTCTCGTTCACCTCCTCCTTGGACCCGTGTGCCAGAAGCATCACCAACAACCGCAGGTCATCTTCCACCACGGCCCGGAGCAGCTGCTGCCCCAGTGGCACATCCGAGCTCGGCAGTGGGGCCAGAAAGAGCTTCTGTTCGTACTTGGCTCGTATCCAGCGCTCCTTCTCCTCTCTAAAAGCACAGGTCCATCGAGGCATGAGTGAGGAAGAGTGGGGCCAGAGAGGGTAGTCAGGAAATGACATAAACACCATAAAGGAGAATAAGGAAACAGTGGGAGAAAGTGTCAGGGCAGAGAAAAGAGAAATCTAAGAGATCGAGGAGATCGAGGGCATAGAGGGGTAGCAGGCAATGCAAAGGGTGGGTAAGAAGCTGAAAGGAAGGAACACTGAAGGGAGGCCCTTAGGGGCGGCAGGGATGTAGGGGGCTGGAAGGGCAGGAAGATTCCAGGCAGGCTCGTGTGGCAGCTTATCTGGCCCTACTAGAACAAAGGGGATGGGAGACTGTGCTGGGGGCCCACCACTACCCTATCTACCACCCATTCTCCCCATCTCAAAGCTCAGGCTAGGGCCTTCACACCACAGAACAGATAGGGCCCTGCGCATGCGCCTCCTGCTGGCCCCCTGACCTGCTGATAACGACTCAGAAAGGGCCTGTTGTTGTGAGGCGCCTGAGTGACAGGCAGGGAGGGGAGAAGGGAACCTCAAGGGGCAACTGCCAAGCACAGCAACGGCCAGTATTAACCCTTCTATCACTGTTGCAGCCACTTGGCACCATCCCCAATCTTCCCCATACAGGAACACTGATGTCCCCTCCCTTCCTGGCCAGGTTCCAGGTCCCATCCACTCACCTGCAGGCGTCAGGCCCTGGCTTTGCATAGCCATCCAGGGCCCCCTCCCAGACGCTATTGGCCAGGGCATTGCCCATGGCAGTCATGACAGCTAGCAGCTCTGGTGGCCAGTCATCAAGGTCAAGAGAACGGACCCGGGACAAATGAGCCCCGAGATGTCGGTGGGTCCCTGAGCACTCAATACACATCAGGGCGCCCAGGTTCAGGCTGGCCCAGTCCGGATCTAGGTAAGGAGAAGCAGCACAGTGAAGCCCACAGGCAACCAGTGAGACCACCAGCAGAGCCCTCCTCCTCCCTGCCCTCCTCCTGGACCTACTGGAAACCTCTTGTCAAGCTTTCTCTATGAAGCTTGTGGAACTTTCTCTAAGCCACCCCCAAGCCTAGATCTGTCAAACCCGGCCCTGCCACTTACTGGGGGCGTCACAGTCGATACAGAAGCTGTTGCCTCGAACGGTTCGGACAGCCTGCACAGCCAGAGCTGTATTCTGGTTCCCTAGTCGAGTCTGCCACAGTGGGAGAGACAAGGCTTGGCTGGTCAGTCATGAAGCCACCTTTGGGTCCCACCCCACTCGGGCCTCCATGCCAACCTTGTCCTTGGCGCTGCGGCAGCCCTGCAGGCTGGCGAGGATCTGGGCCTGCACGCTTTGTACCCACAGCTCCCGCTCCTCTGCTGTCGAGGCCTCAAAGTGCCACGTCTGCCCGGTGAGGGACACCACCACAAATTCAAAGGACTCCTCCGCCTCTGTGGGGGATGGAGCATTTACCACCATCATAGCAGGCGTACCCAGAGACATGTCACTGCCAACTCCACTCACCCTCTGCCTTCCTGGCACCCATCCTTCCCTCACCCCAGCCTTCAGGACCACACTCTCCAGGGTAACTTGCAAGGTGGGAGGGAGTAAACTTGCAATAGTAGTGTAGAGCCTCAACTCTCCATTCCCAACCACCTGTGGAGCCTGGGTTAAAAGAGATGGGGGCACAAAGTTTCAGCATTGCTGGCACTGCAGCAATGGGTCTAGAAATCAGGGTGCTTCCTGGAGCAAGAAGAGCTGAGTATCTGGAGAAGAATGTGCTGGGGTGCTAGGAGGCAATGCTGGGAGAGGGTGGGGGAGGCGGGTGTGGGCACCATCCGTACATGTCAGCTGCAGCCGCCTCATTTTGCAGCTCATTAAACCCAATATTCCTGACGGCGTCAGCGTGGGGCTCCTGGGAGCTGGGCCCCTCCCCCACTATCCTGGCATAGACAGGCAGGAAGGGCAAGTGGATGGGGAGAGGAGAGGTTTTCTCCACAAACTAGAATGTGTGAGTAGATAGGGACCTGAGGACATCTGCAGTGATTGGACTGTGACCCCAAGCAACATGGTCCAGCTGTTCCAAGTTCTGCTCCCCCAGAAGACAGCCCCATGAATCTCATTCCCAATGGTCACTGCCCCATGGGTGAACAGTTCCTAACAAGCAGTGTAAATGTCTCAAGGGCGCTGGAGAGACAGCTCAGGTACCTGTTGGAGGCCCAAGGCTGAGCCCATGGCAAAGGCCTGAA